ACATTATTAACACATTTACATGTAAATATATATTAGCCATATAGCTTAATCATTTCTGGTATAGAAGGAGGCTGGAATGTCTTCATACTTTCCTTTTATTACAACTTTTTGGCTTTAAATATATTACCTGCTCGTACTCCAACTTAAGCGTGTAGCTTAACTTATGCTTGTCCATTTCGTGCTTTGGAGAGGCAAAGCAAGACATGCACTGTATTCCTATTGGGCAGATAATTTTAAATATCAATACTATCTAAACCAACGCTGGTATTGGTATTGGATCAATACTAGCGCGATAGGATTGATATTTGTTTCCATAGCCTATAAAACATATAATATTACTGTACACTACTATTCTTATTGTATATATTGTATATCGTATATCTTATTCATCTGTTCCTCTGTCTCTCCTGCTGCTTTGAGCATGTACGTGACAAAATAATTTCCCTCGGGATAAATAAAGTTGTTCTTATTCTCTTATTCTTATTCTTATAACCACATAAGCCTCAAACCATAAAGGGAGGGTGAAAAAGGTCAAGTCTTGATAATGTGACTAACCACTGGTTTTATACTGTCCATGGCTAAATCATGCAGCCTAATGCATTAGCATTGTAAAATTTATTAAGGACATTAGGTTTCCTATTTAATAAGTTATTTAGTCACATTTTTGAAGCATTCCTCTAGAATCTTTACTAAAAAAAGATGCTTCCATCTGGGGTGGTGGACTGCTCAACCGACAGCTGTAGTCAGCGTCTATTCTTTAAAACACTGCATAAACTCTAACTGAATAATATGTGTGATTCTGTGATGTACATGTGATTCCAGGATTACATGCTTATGCATCTAAATCAGGCATCCGCTTACCGACGTCAAACTACATCAGTGTGATTAAAAGGGCAACCTGTGTTATAGGCTTTGATATGAAAAAAATTCAACACGCACTTCAAACAGAGATGCAGCATCTTGTGCAGCTAAATCCTCGTCCACCTCGTAGCCCTCGTCTCTGCTTGCCTGTAGACAAAGAGATTGGAGGATAAGACAAGAAATTAGGAGGGGTTTAAAATGAAAGATGAGGGACAAGAACTTAATGAGATAACAATGATGTGCTCCAGATTAAGTGGATAAATTGAAAGCCACCGAGCTCTTTGGATTGGCATCGCTGTAGAACTTGAGTCACTTCATGTTTGTCATTTTTTCTGGGGGAAAAGGAAAAGAGAGGGGAAGCAGGAGAGGGCGGGGGGCCTGAAAAAGCTGGAGAGGGAAGCATGCCTAACAATCTAGTGAATGTCTCAGTGGGTGAGTCACAGCATAGAGAACAATTCTTCGAGCTATAACCAAGGACAAAAGCTTCCATTTGTCTGCGAAGCTCAGAGATTCAAGAAACAGTGAAAAAGACAATGCATTTCCTGGTTGGAACCTTTTTTGTACCTGCAGCAGTGAAATTAGGAGGTTCCTCACATCTCCACTGGTATCATCCTCGATATCTGCCTCCAGGTCACGCTCGTTCACTGTAAGGGAAGTGTGCAATGTGAACTTCTATGTCAACAACAGATTTTGTAATGTGATCTAAATGTGGATAAAGTCAGACAGCAGAAAACGTGGAAAACACAAGTCACTACACCCAGATGAAATTATAACATTGGTATTCCGTGCGTTAGCCACACTTTCCAGTATGAAAGGAAAGGAACACCCTGAGATGACTCAGAGGAAACGTTACCCTGGGCATATGCCTCCTTGTAGCTCAAGATGTCCTGTTGGGTGAAAAAAGACAGCATTAAGATGATGTTTCTGTTTTTCTCACATCTTACAGCATCTGTTTGATCTTCCTCGTGTCACATCTTCTTATGTATTCTGAAGACAGAACGCAGCACTGTTGCCTTTACTTTGTCACCATTGTGATTTAACTGTCAGCTCT